GTCCAACTGAAGAGAAAAGATCAATCTTGCATATAACCGTTGAAGATAGTATAATGGCAGGTGCCAAGATCTTGTAACTTAGTCCAACATTAGTCATTGGTGCACTCACATTTTGCACACTGGTGCTCTTATAGATTTTATGTAAAAAAAAATGCTGTTAGAATTTCTCCACCACACATTTATCTATGAGGTCATCATGAATTTAACTTGTTCATTATTTGCTTTAAGTATTAATGCTGCAATTTCGTATGACATAAAACCCATCAAGTTATTTTTTTTAATTACAAAGTTGTATTTTTTAGGAGACTATATATTTCGTATAAAGTTCTGTACATATATAAAATGAATATTCAGGTTTCAAAACAGGTTTACATGCAAACTCTGCAGGTTATTAATGAAATAGTAATTCTACAGCCAATACGTTAATTGGAATTTTAAATTTCAGGTGTTGGCGGACGTGACTGTGAGTGCCACAGCTGCTGAGAAAGTGAAGAGTGCTGTACAGAAAGTGAAGGATCGAGCCCAGAAGATCGTAGATGAGATAAACTCAGAGAAATCTGTGGCTCATGCTAAATTGGCGGCTGCTAAACCTGCATTACAGGAGGCAGAGAATGCTCTTAAAGTAGGTTTGGTGATCCAAATGTATTTGAAAATATAGACATTTTCAAATGTGTGACTACAAAACTAATTTACAAGTGAAGCTGAATGTTTTACAAAGATTAATAATTTCTGCTCTTTTCCAGACTATCAAGCCTTCAGACATTGCCACTGTGAAGAAGCTGGGAAAACCACCTCATCTCATCATGAGGATTATGGATTGTGCGCTCCTTCTCTTCCAGAAGAGATTAGATACTGTGACGGCGGACCCAGAACGGATTTGTCCCAAACCATCGTGGGGTGAATCTCTCAAGGTGACTTTATCAAGAAAGTACTAGAGCTAGTGAAGGGAAGTTTTATAATTAGAAAGCAAACGATTACCACTAGTTGTATGTTCCTTTAAGCGAGCTTATTAAGAGAGTGAAAAAAACCTTTCAGGACTGCTTTTAATACTTTTTATGTAGGTTGCAGACAGAACATTGTTTTTATGTTAGGTACTTGAAAGTGTGAAATCTTTTCTTCGCCATCAACCTAAACTGTCAAAAATATTTTGATGAAACTTAGATTGGACCTGCATCACCCTAAAATAGGAGTTGATATGAGGTCACTGTGACCTTCAGGTCTAGGTCAGAAGTCAAAGTCAAATAACTTCAAAAAAAGATCAGGAAATTTTTGTCCGGGCCATACATTTTAATTGTTAAATCAAAAGTAATAAGCTCATCTGATCCAATTTAAACCTTGAAGTGGATTCTAAATAAAATTTAAAAACGATAAAATCCTTCTCCTTTTGTACAAATGAAAGATTTATCAAAATTTTGTCTAGAGTATCTTTTGGTAAAGGGGACTGCATATATGTATATGTGAAGAGTGTGCTGCCACTGCTCCTCCCTGGGGGCAGAGAGCAGGGCCCAAGGGAAGTACATAGGGATCTCAACTTATTTGGTTTGGACCATTATTGGGCAAAGGGGACTCAATGTCGTATAAACAGGATGTACACCCTACCTGGGGGCAGACGTGCATGGCCCAATATGGGAAATTGGGTCATCACCACCCTGAAACCATACATGTATACATATACATCATTTGACAAATACATTCATCCTACCAGAATTTCTAGTCCATTTCCACACCAATGGGTGGGATTAAATTTGGGAATCGGGTTACAGCTGAGAAATGTTTCAGATCTCTACCAAATACACATATATGCAATTTCTGGTCATGAAGGGATGAAAATGCTTTTGCCATCATAATTTATCCCTGAGTTTAGTTCCCTATGCAGAGGTGGAACCCAATATTCTGTTTGGGTAATAACTTAGAAATGGTGGCGATCCCTTCCCTAAAACTGTGTCTTCCTACCCATGCTCGATATCACTGAAAAAATACACCCATGCCACCACAATTGGCTCTGGGGTCTGTCCCAGCCCTAGGGGCGAGACCCAATAGGGAAATGAGGTCTTGAAAACACTTGAGATCTGGATCCTATAATGATATTAATTAACTAGGTTGATATTGTGACAATACAGAAAAAGTGGCCCTGTGCAATACATGTCTAGAAGTCGGCCAATACAGGGAAAAGTTGGCCAATACAGGGAAAAGTTGGCCA